TGCTGGAAGAAGCCTTGTGGTGCCCACGGGGTGCGAGGTGGGAGCAGGCTGGGGCTGCCCTCTGGACAGGGGGCAAGGAGGAGGCCACCTCACCTCTCTGTTTCTACATTCGTGCTGCAGCTGGGCACCTATAATGTACCTGAGTCCTTCTCCAGGCAGGGTGCAGCTGACATCCCGTGCCAGAGCTCACCCTCAGCAGTTTTAGTGCCTGCTGAAGCCCTGCCTGTGTTGGCTCCGGCCCAGGCTGAGACATTCTCACACCTTGGGAGTCCCTGCCTGGCATGTCCACGCCTCGGGGGAAGGCGAGATCACAGGCCGCATCTCAGTTTCTCTTTTTCGGTTGTACTCTGAGACAGAGCAGTAGGTGACGTCTTTGAAGGCATTAAGATAAATTATATCTCTTTGTTTTATCTGAAGTTGCTTGTTTTGTGGTAGAGGCTGTTATAGTGGAGATTTCTCTCCTAGACATTGCATTTGTGTAAGCCAAGGCAGCCAATACCTGTTTTGTACCTGTGAAGAAAAAGGTAAAGTGCAGAGTCAGAGAAATGGTGAGATCCAAGGAGAGGTGAGAGGAGTTTCAAGTTGGTAAATTTACTATAAACTGCACAAGAACAGTTTCCTTTCTCTAAAGCCATCTTCTGCCTATATATGCCCCTATAGTGATGCATAGACTGATCACTGACAACTTAGATAAGTAGTATGTAAAGTATCCTTCCAGAGATGGACTCCAAAGGGAATTAAGCCATGCAGTGAGGTGAAATTTAAGCAGTTACACTGATTTTTCAAAGCAGTTTTCCTAAACTGTACATTCTGCAACAGCTCCAGAGTCAGACACTGGTGAAACAACCAACCAGTTAAGAACCATACAGGCAGCAGAAGGAGAGCATCTTTTTAAAGGACTCTCAGAGATCCCTTAAGAGGTCTCACTGTAAGATATAAAATGTTGGACACATCAAGAAATCCTTTTTTAGTAGAGGTGAAATACCAAGGCTACTGGACTGTAGATCATCAAATCTCTGAAAAGAATACAAAGGTCTTGAGTGATAGAGAAAGCAGTGGATAACCTTGGGTCATAAGGAGAAACGTTTCGAGAAACAAGAGCCTTGAAACTGGGAAAGCACAGGCTGAGACTGCCCTGCGGCCAACACTCGGTGCTTCAAGACTGGCACGTACATGGCCTCACCTGCTGTAAAAGCACCAGGACTTACGTAGCTTATCTTCACGGACTGGACTTGCTTATGGTGTGTTCCCCCATATTTTAGCACCAACATAGCCTACTTTACATGGAGTACAGAAAATCTTGCCAACTTTTATGGAAGAGGGCCAGCCTATACTTACTCATGCTAATAGGTGTGAACCAATATCCGTGCTTATTTTGTTACTAGATTGTGATTGCTGTGTTTCAAACAAGCAGTCTGCAGGCAGTTTTTCAACACTTCCAGCATGAAAAGCAAGCTGCAATGCAGGTCTGCCTGGTGCAGGGCTCTAACGCAGCCAGGGACTGACTGCCTCGTGCTGTCTGTCTGTCCTGCGTGTTCAACCTTCCTCTGCATGCTGCGCTGAGACAGAAATCCAGCACCCAGGGTCACCTCACGGTGGGACAAGCAAGGAAGGGTGAGTGGACTTACGAGCTGAAAGCTCTGCAATGTTTTTCTTTCCTGGTGTGAAAACAGTCAGTCCCACAAAAGGGGATGATGAAACGAGAGCAACAGCATCAGGAGAACCTTAACATAAAAGAGAACTTGGTGACCTTTGTGGACAATTCCTGCTTTCCTCTGCTTACTTCTGGAGATGGTTGTGAGATGCACTTGCAATACGTACAAGGCTCAGCATGGCTGCCATGGTGCTGTCAGGGCTTTTCGCTTTTAGGTGCTTCAGCTTTGCTAAATATTACTGCAGCAGGGAAAGCCTGGCTCCCCTGCTAGAAAACCCGGGAGAGCTCTGGTAACGGCACTACTGCATGAAACAAGGATGACTCGCAGCTCTGAAGGTTCCTCTCGGGTGTGCCTCCCCATCTCACAGCTCCTGGGCACCACTAGTTTTGATTAGTTAGTATAAATAGTTTCAAATTAATTAAATATGTTCTGAATGTAATGGGGGCTCCATTGCCTACAGAAGCTAATGTGAGTCCTGAGGATGTCCCGTGGTCCATCTGCTAGGACAGAGCAGCCCGTGTGGCTACTGGGAGGTACCACTGCCCCCTTCAAGCTGGCACACTGGATCGTTCCCTGGGTTTATCTGGATTTTACCCCTTTCTGCCACAGGCAATCTTGCTGTTACTGTGCTATGGTTTACCCTTTCATGGAGGAATTAGATTGACTCTATTTTCCTTTATTTCTACACTAGCATATGTATAAAAGAAAGGCAAAAAAAATTACTCCAAGCCACTTCATCTATGGAAAATGAAACTGTCAGTGGCATCTCTTCATCTGCAGTCTTTGCAAGCTCTTACATCTTGATCAGTGTACACAGCAAATGTGAAACAAGTTGGTATTTCATCTTGGTGTTTTTCTTCTACAGGGAATCTCTTTTTCTACATTAAAAAAAGGCAACAAACCAACAAAAACAAACTGCACACAGTTTCTTGGAAACACTACAGTGGGATGCAAATTCTCTCACGAGATCTCAGAAGATATGGAGGTTCATGCTGACCAGGCTAAACCAGTTATTTGGAAATTGGACAAATTTGTTTCCCAACAAATTTGGGAAAGTACATTGCCACAGCAGGTCATCAAAATGAAGATTTTTAAAATATCAAAATTATATGTTTAAAGATTAGATAGAAGAGTTGGTCTTTTTGCTGGGATGGCAGCAAATAATAATCTCCATGGTCTTTGGCTCAGCCTCTAAATGCTGGGAACTCTCCACAGAGAGGCCATAACCAGTGCCACTCGCTTCTCTGCGCAGTTCACTGCGGCTTTAACCAATACATGGAAAGTTCTTTCTGTGGCAGTTTGACTTCTGTTGATGTCTGAATCACCGTAAACTGAGTACAGCTTCTCTGGTGACCTATGTGCCCTGGAGCAACAACAGCATGAGATGGATCTCACTAAGCAATTAAACAGAAATTAAAAGATGTAGAGATAGCGCTGGCACTGCTGGCAGATAGAGACTGCAGGGAGGAACCGCGGGCTGGAGGAGCAGCTCTGGAAGCTCTGCCATTCTGATTTTCAGCTAGAACAAAAATACAGATCTTAACCTTTTAGGCTATAGGCCTGGGAAGGAGTTATCTGATCTGCTCACTGTCCAGTGAACATAATTACATGTATGGAAATGTCCTAATTATGTATCTTGCATACAATTTGTGTCACCAATCCCTTTCGCTTACAGAGGCAGGCACCGTTCCTTAGGAGAAGCAGCCCTAGAGACCCTGCTAAATAGATCAGATTTTGTAAAATCCTTGCAAAGACAGAGTACAGCCGCTACGGTGCAAAATGAGATTTCTAATGAACTTATTTGCCTTAAAAAGAGGAAGCAGTAGCAACTCCTGGCTGTCACAAAGAGCCCCTTGTCCCTCTCTTCCCATGGCTTGTTACCATATTCCTTGCACAACCGTGGCTGAATCAAAAATGCTGGTGAATTCTTTCCTTTAAAACCATGTAAAGTAATTTTCTTAATCATTTGAGAAACAAGTGTCCCATGAATGTTACATACCCTTCATTTCCCTCAGGTGGACGTGTATGCTTTGAACTAATTGCTCTGGCTCTTGTTGTGGGGCTTTACTGGCTGAAGAAACAGAGAGCAGCACACACATCACTTTGCTTGAGCAAAAAGCTGCTTTCCTCAAGGGAGACCTACCTGTCACAGAAATCTCTTTACTGCTTTTCAGGGAATCACAGGCTCTTGATCACAAATCAATGATTTTACCCCTTCCCTAACCACCTAATGTCTTGAAAGATGCCATTACCTGGCTTGTGAATGCCATCCCTCCCTAGGATATACTTTTGTGCATCTGCTGATCACAACGTAACCTGGTGCCAGCTTTAACTTGTCAAGGGAAGGTCTTTGACTTTTTCCTGGGACCTGTGTGAAAGCTGTAGCTGCCTAATGGGATATACTCTTCCCACACTACATCACCTAAGGATGAACTTCAAAGGAAAGGCAGGGAGCATCCACCCCAGCCCGGAGCCGTGCTCTTTGGGCAGCAAGGCAGGGCAAGAGCAGCAGGCGGATCCTTCTCTGCTCCCCTCGGTGTGCAGGCAGGCAGCAGAGCCATGCTTGGTCAGATGGATCCCTTGGCAGCAGACAAATGCCAGAGAAAAGACAGCAAATTGCAACCCAATGTTTTCTCTTTCCAGGAGAGTTTCCAGAGGGATCACGCTCATCCTTCAGCCACACTGACCAGCAGAAGGCTCAAGCTTTAGGAAGAGATCTTTGAGGCATAAGAGGATTTAAGATATAACAAGAGGGAAGCTTAAAAGTCAACACTGGGGAACTAAAAGAAATCTGAAAGGCTACCACTTGCTGTGTTGAAAAAAGGAAACCTCTGTGGCCACAGAAAGCTCTAGCAGACATTCGACCTGATTTGGAGACTCTATTGGAGAGAATTTCCAAGTTCACACCGTTTTGGTCATCTAGGATTATTTTTGCATCCACTCCTTTCTGCTTAAAAAGGACCGAGAGGGATGTGACATTGCAGCCAGTGTTTGCACTCTGAGGGCCCGATCCTTCTCCGTACACTGGTGCATGTGCACTTGGCAAAGGCATGACCTCAGTCGAGGACTGCGGGATCGCTCCCTGGATGTGGCAGCTGTAATTCAACGTGACAGCTTCTCCAGGCACCGCTCCACAACTCTGTTTGTCTGTCTGCTCAACAGACCCCTGCAGCGTTACCAACTTTCTTTGAGAAAGGTGCTGCTTTGAATCCAGGGGAAAGCCAGCTCGCAGCCTTTCAGTTTGTTTTCTTGGGAACTTTGGCAATGCTGAACTTTATTGTCTCCTCGCTTTCATGGAACCGTAATTTACATAAGCACAGGAGTCAAAACACACATCTGAAAAAAAATGCTTTCGTAGATTTTTAACCATTGTTTCCTGTTGGGGTGTTCTATCATAATGTTCAAATTAATCACTTCTGAGGAGCATTTGTGAATTTCCACAGTACTAAAGAAAAGTCACTGCAGTAGGTGACTCAATTCCATTCTCTAAAATGCTGTCCAAGCTAGTGGGAAAAAATAGTGGGCACCTGGTATCAATTTTATAATTGGGTTTTTCCATATTAGAATGGGAATTTTGTGAAGACTCAATTAAAAGGAGTGTCCTCCTATTCTTCTGTCACCCATCAGACTGAGTCGCACATGAATGCCAGCATGCTGTCATACATACTCTTCTCTTGTTTGCTGCTCTCTGTGCAAGCACAGAATTGCAGTGTCCGTGAAATTATCCGGTATACAAATCGTCTGCTTGTAAGTGACTGTTTAGCACCTTAATTCTGTAAAAATGCGTGTGTGTAAAGTAGATGATAATAAATACTCATTTCTCACTTGTTATTCTTTCAGGAGGAAAGTTCTGTAAGTTGCCCATGTAGGGAGACAGCTGTCAGTGTGAGTACATTGCTTCTGAGAATAGAATGAAACTAAACAAAACTGTACTTATGTGTTGAATGCTAGCAATGCTGGATTTTAATGCTCGCTTTTTTCGTTTTCAGTCATGTTCGTGTCTTCCCATTGCTGAGGTAAGTCTATTTTTTTAATTGTAGTGTTAAAGAAATCTGATATTAACTGAGTTTGTTAAGTTTGTTCACTTGGCTCCTTATACAACTTTTGCTTTCAGTTATGAGGAAGTTCTTAATACACCAGTAGCAGCAAAACTGAGTTTGATGAACAGTGGTAGGGAGGGAAGCAGAAGTCCTCCCATTACCAGTGCAATCAGAATGAAGCCCAGAGTCTGGTACAAGTCCTCTATGGGCTTTACTTAAAAAACAAAAGATACAGACTCTTGCTTTGAAAATCTCTGCAAGACCTTTTTTTATGATTAGGTGACTAAATACTGAGCCAACCTGGGCCAGACATGTCAGGCCTCACATGCTTAGCTCTAGGTGTATCAGATGCTATTTCATTCTTCTGAGCCCCCTCAGATACGGTGAAACCCAGCACTAGCTGAAACTATGCTTCAAAGAGGTTATTTTTACAGTTTGAGGTTTTCTGAGAGATGCAGCAGATGTTTCTGAGCGCACACATGATGGTTTGGTGTTTTACAAACCCCCAAAGTTCTTGTACCAGTTTTCAACAGGATGCAAAATGTTACATTTAATTGCGACATGCTGCCACATTTAGGAATACGTATTTCTTCTTTTTGTAGATAAACACAATGCACTTTAGCTTCCTCTAATGCCTTCTTTGTTTAACAGCCTGGCCATGAATTGGCATGCTTTGTGGAAGGAACCGAACACATGCTGAAAAACAACATATCTTCCAAAGCAGTAGTTGCAAGGCTTAATCTAACCTTTCAGATTCAATTGGACAGAAACCTCTGTGAAGTAAGACTTTTCTTTTCTATAGATATTTGTCTTTTACAGAAAAATGAGTTTTTATAATTTAAACATTTATAGCTAAGTGTTTGATTCATTTCAAATACTCGTTTTATGTGGGAGCCAGGCTTGATAGCCGCAACACGCGTGAGGCAATGGAAAGCTATTAAAATTGGCAGAGGAAGCAGGGAGAATGGTTCTGCCCCACTGTGCCCTTCTACAAATCCCTTTAGCATGAGGACCTTTAAGCACAGATCTCTGGAAGAGGAGCTTTATTTAAGTTGCTTTTCTACTCTCCTTTCTCCAGCTGCATGGCTGGGGACAGGCAGGCAGAGGCCTCCTTCTCTTCTGGAGCATTAACTCTACCTAGGCTGCAAGTTCTTCAAAAATGCTTGGGCATGCAATGCTGCTGCAACCTGCAGCATCTTCAAACTTGTGATGATGCTCAGGAAGACTCCTGATGCCTTTTCTGAGGCAGCGAAGCATCCTTTATTTACATGCTGAGCAAAACTGTGGTGTAATTCAATGAGACGCAGAAGATGCTGATGCTGCAGTGTCTCGAGCTCCTTCAAGCCAGCTTCAAACTTGCAAGAGAGAATATTGTTCGAATGGCACTGCAACACCGAGCAGACCCACTTCCCTCATCTTACCCAGCTCCTCATACTGCTCTGTCTGCCCTGTTTTCTGGATTGAAACTGCTTAGTTTAAATTACTTCAGCTATAACTACATGACAGTCCAGCTGACACCTCCTTAGTCACCATGAAAAGCCATTCTTACACTCACTGCTCAAGGAACCGTTCTTTAGGAATTGTTTTTCAAATCCTTGCTTAGCTCCAAAGAATGTTGATTTTAACTGTTCCATCTAAATACTTGCTTTTTTTAGAAAATCTTTTGAAACCAAATCTTTGTCCTTTCTTCCATCACAGAGCCTGGCACGTGGGAATCAATGCCAGTACAAGACCAAGGGAAATGTGACGGAATTTTTGAGTAAGATCCTGAGAACCTATCAAGCAATCAGTAAACCTAGGACTTAAAAAAAAGATAAAGCTTTAAAAAAATTCAACTCTTTGACAAGAAGAGAGAACAGAAAAGTTATTTATTGTATTTATTATCCACCTGAAATATAAAAGGTAGAAGTAACAACTGCTAAACCAATAAAACTGTAATTTATGTAACCACCAGAATTATTCAAGTGTCTTCATTTTATGTGTTTTACCTTTGCTGAAAGGTTTGAACATCCTGTGTTTCGTACCAGTGGGCGCTAAAATGTTTCTGCAAAGCTCTGGTCCAACAGTATCACTAACGCGCGATGCTACAGCGCAGTGCGCGTGTGCTTGCGTCTGTTCCCCTTCCTGTCTCCAGTATGTTGTCAGTACAGGATTCCAAGGCTTCTTTTCCCATATGTTAACAGTTTCTTGACTTCCTCCCCACCCTCTCACTCTGAATGCTGTTTAGCACCAGAAACATCTGTGGACTTCAGATTCAAACAGAAATTCTGTGTTTTCTTTATGCATCAGTTTTATTTTTTTGATAATATCTACACACCATGACTAAGTCACTTAGCTTCTTTCTTGCAAGATTTTCCTGCCCACAGCTGCATATTTATTTTCTCCTAAATATTCAGTAGTAGTGGATTCATGAACATCTTAACTTACAAAAGCAAGACCATACCCAGGATTAATCAGAAGTTCTTAATGGGCTTGTATATTTGGGATGTGTTGTGGACAACTGTTTCTTTCTTGGGATGTATCTAACACTGGCTTTGAAGATCTTTCTACAGTGGCATGAGCTCAGATATGCTTCTCTACCACCTCTCCATGCAGCTCAACAGAAATAAAAGAGGCAAAAAAGGGAGCTTTGCTGAAAAAAATCAACAAACAACAAACATAAAAAGGAAGATGTTTATCTCAGTCACCTATTCCAGCTTTACCAGTAGTTTCTTAGATCTCCTCACACAAGGGACAATCCCAGCCAGGTCAGATTTCATCACCTTAGTGCCTCACAGATGAACAAAAGAGTCGAGGCATCGTAACAGGGCTGGCCTGTGAGACAGAGGACCTTAAAAGACCTCCAATGACATCATTCCTTCACCATCTCCACTGGAGTATGGTGGAATTTTTAGACTTCAAGAACATATACAGGCATATAATTGCCTTTCTTTTTTCAGCATTAAGTGTGATATTGATGGGATGAACGTGTGTCTAGAATTGAAAGCATTATGGAAATGGTCATCTAGTATATTATTATTCTTAAGGTTTCCACTAATATGGGCTTGAGGGGAAAAGAGAGAACCAGATTATAGGAAATGCATCTGATACAACTACATAAAATGGTTTAAACTTATGCAATATATATCAGAGCAAATGAATTTCTTGATGTGTTTCTGATAGCTGCTTCAAATATGATAAGAAGATAATAAATACTAAAGACTTTCTGTGGTATCACCTATAGAGATGAAGCCAAGAAATAAATGCACTATTCCACCTTTTTCACATTTTCATAATTTTCATAATTTTCATAATTTTTCTACTCTAAATTCAGCTCAGGCAGCTTTCTTATAAATAACCATTTTTAGGGATTCTAGTGCAAAGAAAAATCACCCACAGTTCTGGCAAATCCGCAGAACGCTTACACACGCTCCTGGTCTTGGACAGAAGAAAAAGGCTCATTAACATCCATAGATCGCAGTGAATTTATGATGGCAGATATCAGATTTCCAAATATTGTCTCATCAAATACCGATATTCAGTCTTGTTAATATTTTCCAACTGCAAACCCAAGCAATTTCAGTGTTTCCATGATGCTTTGCTTTTCGTATCTTTGTGTGTGCAGCTCACCAGTGTTGTGTCATAACCTGCAGCAAGTGTAAAATCTGAAAAATACTGATTCATTTTTATAGATGAAGAAAAGACTTCCCAGGTCCTAGGTCTGCAGACAGCTGTTCTACCCTGTGTTTTCAGAAACTGCAAGGAAAAAGAAAATGCTTTGTCTAATACTTTTACTCCCTAAATGACTTCATTAGATTTATGAAATAGATACAGTAGTTGTGAAATTGTGGCACAAGCGAAAGACGCATCATAAATACAGTTCTACCCAACATAAGCTGGCAAGAGTCAAATGCAGTCAGTGAGCTTCCAGTCAAATCACTTCTGCAAGACAATAATAGGAAACTCTTGTGCAGAATTTGAAAAAAACAGCCAAACTTACTGAACTGTAGAAGATTCATCTGCAAAATATCTACTCATCTGATGCCTCGGTTTACAATCTGCGTGAGAAAAGTGATTGTTATGTGCTCAAAGCATTCAGTGCAGAACTGTGCAACATGAATTAAGTGCTTCTACTGCTGTCTGTCATTGTACACAAACCGCTTGCACCTCTGAGCTGATGCAAAATGTTTGCTTATGCTGGCAACCACCCCCAAAGCCTGCAATCTAGAGTCCAGGAAACGTGGTGGTCCTCTATCTTTGAGTAATTTAGCCCTCTAATTTATGTGGGCCTTCCCCACCAGCATATTCAGATCTTCTCAATGGGACTCTTTAATGCTCTGTGAGGCTTTGCAAGCTCCAGGGCAGTGCAATGGGAAGGGCTGGATCTCTCTCAGCAGGACTGAACATCCAGCCTTGGACCAGCCCCTGAGCAGATGTGGGACCCAGCAGATGCCTGTGGGCCTCCTCTCTCTCTTGAGTTTGGTTCACAATAGGTTTGTGAAACTGCCAGATGAAACCAAAAGAAAACTAATCCATTGAGTTACTTAATTACTGTAACAAATACCTTCCTCTGTTATCTCAATTATCTTTCTCTAGCAGCTCTCTAGCAGAACTTGTCATACTATGATGGAGAGGATGTGGCATAGGGGACACAGGAGGTGAAGAAGGTCAGACATTTCGTATACAACATGACTTGTCTGCACAAGTTGATTATACTGTGGAATATGTGGAATATGAGTTGATAGTCAGCCATGATTTTAGGACAAAGCCCTTCTTCCAACCATTCAAACCTGCCCAAGTGTCCATGCTTGTGCGTGCTTGTTTTCAAGTACGTATCGCCACAACTATGATATTTCCCCATAAGCATAAAGTAATGCTAAACTCTATGCTAGAAGTGACCCAAAGACACTTGAGAAGCTACTTTGCTTTTCAGCAAGTAAGAATTCCCCCAATGTTGCAACATCAGCCAGCACACAACCCTTTCTTTGAAAGGTGTTTGTTGTCAGCGCTCAGTCAGAAACCCATACAGAGATCTGCAGCTCCACAGGAGTATTTTCTGTCTTAGTTCAGGCATCCACTTAGTAGCATGGCTATTACAAAACTTAGTGTTGCCTTCAGAAGCCTGACAAAGACAGCTTTGTATGTTTGAGTCTCTGTCACAATACTTAACAAGGCAGAAATGCAGCAGCAGAGCCACAGGGCTTGTGCTGCCCTTCGTCTTACATGATGTCATGCCCTGCTGTGGGACAAGCCCAAGCCCTAAGCAGTGTCAAAGGTCTAATAAGAAGCTGTCTCCAATGACAGACAGGCAACCATAGGTCTAGAAGATATTTTAGGAGAGACTGCAACTGCCCTGGTGCATCTGGTATGTTTTTGTTATTTTCTGAGTCTTTTTCATCCCTGTAAGTACAAGTCTGGTGTATGCCATGATATGGGAAGGAGAAGCTCTGGACTACCATTCAAATGCCTCCCAGTCATAAATCACACTCAGTATTTAAAAGCAGTTTTACATATTTGTACAGGAAAGCAGATCTTATCTGGCTAATGCTCACAACACCCTCCTGAGCCATGTGGACAAGCCTCATTCTTCTAGTTTTACAGAAAAGTAAGGTAACAAGAGTTTGGTGAGATGGAGAATTTATGTCTCCCCAGCACTCTGCATTTTACAACTGTCTGACGACTGACAGCATTTGATTGCAGAGCTCAGCACACACCAGGGTATAGCATGGCCATGACACAAATGACAGCACACGTAATATCAGGTGGTACTACTGGGAAGGCTGAAGCCAAAGTACCTACCATTTCCAGGCTGTTTTACCCACAGATAAGGCCACACCTGCCCACAGCTGGTTGCAGCTCCCTTCTCATCTTCTCTATTGGTCTCCCACTTTTGATCTAATCCAATAAAAAAATTTCAAAATTTAGAACTAAAAATTCCCAAGACTTCTATGTGCATTTTTCATGGAAGCAACCACACTGATCTATGAATTACAGCATCTTTGTGGATACACACTGAAGCACCAGTTCAAACAGTAAACTTTTTGTCACTTTGTATGAATTTCTGTAAATAATCCTGAAAGCTTACACTATTGTTATGAGATACAAGATAAATGTTGTCTTCTTCCTGTTGGGACACAGAATGGATTACAGATCATCAGCACCATGGCTCAGGCAACCAAAGGAGTGAAAGGGCTGAAAAGAGAAGGTAAAATGCTTCACTAACACAGCACCTTGATTGCCACAATGGCTTTTCTTCCTGATTCATATACAGGCTTTAAAAATCAAAGATGCTTACAAATCAGCAATGTGTCTGAATTGCTTCTACTATCTTAAATCTAGTAGTATAGTACTAGATGAAACAATCCTGAACTTGTATCAGGTTACAATCTAGAAAAAGTGACAGTAAGAAACTACATGTAAAATACCAGTGAGATTTCTTTCTGTTCATATCAGAAACAGCATCATCAAAAGGCTTCACAAGAAAACAGATGTTCTTGATTTGTTTATTGCATTCATTATGCTAGTCTTTAATTTGATAAATTTCAGGCTAACTAAATATTTTCCAGGGGTAATAGGTCAGCAAAAACCCCAGGAGTGAGGGGATTTTCCCCCGACTCCCCACAAAATTGGAATTGTAAAAGAGCGAAATAAGAGAGAAATCATGACTTAAGAGATGCAGATAATGATCAGCCTACTTCTGACTTTGCAGGCAGCCTGTAGGAGAGAAGAGAGATGTTCTGTCTGACAGCAACTTTCGGCAGGATATAAATCAGCCATTGAGATGTAAGATTGTTCCACGGTGGCAGACAAAATTTCTCACTCTGGTT